TTTGTGAATGTATTCCTAGTCTGGTTAGGACATTGCAGGCTGAACCACCTGATTGTCCGAAAAGTAAGATGGTTCCGTACTTCGGATGGGCACGTTAAGCCGTCGGTCCCGGCTGCTGTCTATGATGGCGGTCGTTACACAACCATGTCAGAGGCCTGCTACTTGTACTTAGTAGGCGATTGAAAAACTCTGACACCAGGGTTCATCGGGTCGTTGAACGACTCGGTGTCCCACACGAAGAGAGAGAGAGATTGAAAAGATGCAGTCGCTGGTGCAGTGTCTACCCATTTTCATCTTTTCGACTTCTGCCATTAAACCGGTCAACAAATTGCACTAGCACTTTTTTTGGACAGCTCTCCGTCTTCCAACTGGTCTCTTCTTAAACCTTCTCACTCAACCACTAAACCACTTTCTTGCTGCCATTGACTAATCCTTATTACCTATATTATAAGGTCCTATTACATTCAATGCAAATATTTTCAGGATATGTTCTACTAGTGAAACTGAACAACTGTTCTTAGTAAAAAAAAATTGTGATATGAAAAACTAATTTTGGACTTGCCACCTAAAAATAGCCAAAACATACAGTTTGTATGAAACAAAAATGTATTTTTTTTCATATTCTGAAAAAAATAATTAAAAGAAGTTTGTTCAGTTTCACGACTAGAACACATCCTGCAGGTATTTGCATTGATTTTAATAGGAATACAGAGTTTAAATTATTTTAACTACGTACGCTCACATACTTAATCGGTAGATATTTTCTACTCACAAAACAAAACAACTCTTCATCGAAATGAGAAAAAAATCTAGATGTTCAGTGACGACCTTTTTCAACATGTTTGTATGAGAAGTCAATTTTTTTTCATATTTTCAATATTTTGATAAAAAAGTGTTTACCTTTGTAAGTTAAATACGCCTTTAAAATTTTTGTACCTAATTAAACTTAACCAAACATAGATTTTATATCATGTTAAACCTATTCTCTTTAAAAAGAGTAAAATAAAAACAAAATTAAAAATTTTGAAAGTACCCACGACAGTATAATGATGTTGAAAAAGGATAAAATAATTTTGAAACCCCCGACCTTAATAATCTATGTGATAAATAAGAGACAATTCACATTATGTAAAAGCTTTTATACAAGTGAGTTGATTTAATTGCTCACTGAGTCAGACATAATATGAACAACATAGTATTCGCTTTTTTAGCACTTTCTTACGTATGTATTTGATTCTTAAAGATGTAGGTGTAGCAATCGCATAGGTAATTAACTCCTTAAATTAATTAATAACACTAGAAAATACGTTGGGGGCTGTGTTGAAGTTTTAAATATTCATAGAGCAGCCCCCGACGTATTTTCTAGTGTTATTAATTAATTTAAGGAGTTAATTACCTATGCGATTGCTACACCTACATCTTTAAGAATCAAATACATACGTAAGAAAGTGCTAAAAAAGCGAATACTATGTTGTTCATATTATGTCTGACTCAGTGAGCAATTAAATCAACTCACTTGTATAAAAGCTTTTACATAATGTGAATTGTCTCTTATTTATCACATAGATTATTAAGGTCGGGGGTTTCAAAATTATTTTATCCTTTTTCAACATCATTATACTGTCGTGGGTACTTTCAAAATTTTTAATTTTGTTTTTATTACAATAATTAGTATAGAGATGTCTCAATTACCTTTAAAAGAACTTTTGGGTTACATATTACTTTATTTAAACACAACGTATGGGTCAATAATTAACTAGACATCACTTTTATATCACTAGCCAATAACTTATATTATACTTGAGGTCTGGGTTTCTATGAACACTAGAACTCAAGACATCATCTTCATAACAATAGAGACTGGCGGCTGGAGGCGTATGAGTCCTTCATAAGGCTGCGGGGTCGATTTGTTACAAGGATACACGTGTGATGCCTGTTTTTGGTCTTTTTATACAAACATATTCCCCTGATTTCTTCAAAAATAATGTTTGAAGAGCTATAATTTGTATTTTACTTATAAAAGTTTTGTATGAAAACTCTGACAAAAGTCCGCTTTGCATGCGACCACGTGACATAGACTCTCTCTTTTTTCACTTCTTTCGATTACTTCCTATGAGAGGTCTGTGATGCCTTCTCGCGCGCGAGATACCTGTCTTCCTTCGATGCGCATGCTGCGTAAGCCATAATCCTATCAATAGTATCAATTTTCTTGACTTTGCACTATTATTAATACTCATCATAACTGAACAATTTGAGCATCCATCACCACAAGCTCTATCTAAGAAACGAAGGAAATGTAATAATGTCAAATAGAAAACCTGTACCAATTGATTTATTGGGACCCAAAGAACTAAATAGGTACATTATTTTATTAGGATCTAAAAATCCTACGTATACCTATACTGTACATCGCCAGCAAATCAGCCAACTCATACTGGCTTTTCATACAAAAATTAAGAAAATCAAGTAAAAGTTGATCCCTTAAAAGGGTAGGTAGATTACATAGGTTCCAATCAGCTTACATGCAACGACTTTTCCGCAGAAAATATACTTCAAAAACAAAGATTGTGCTTGTGTATGAGAGGCTATATTTTTAGGACAATTTCAGCAAAAATCCCGAACATGGCGGGTGGGTAACAATCCTAGCCCGCGGCGATTTGCCCGTTCGGCTTTCGTTTGACCGGCTGACATTATCAGTGGGATTGTAAAACCCTGACATGAGTAACTTCTGTGTGTAGGTGTATTGATGTAGTATACTTACATCGGAATATGAAGGAACAGTTTTTTAGGACTAGCCGCCCGTCAGTGATGTTTCCGACTTCATCTCTTATTCCCAGGAGAAAAATACGTTTTCCGGCATATGTTATGTAAGCTAAAATGATTTGGTGAAAAGCCGCTAGTTACCCCGGGAATCGAATCCCATTTATAGTAAGTTGTGTTAGGTTCGCGTGGTCCGGATTAAGCGCGGCCGGGCCACGGAGATAGGGGTCCCTAGAGGGCGCCTGGCTGGTCGCTTCCCATTTAGAACATGAACCAAGTTTTAGAAACACACGTCCGTTATTTTTGCGCAGCGCTACCGTATGCGTAATAAAATGCGATTTTCCGCCTTATTTTCAAACAATTTGGTGTATTACAAACGGTTTCACAGACCCATCGTACAACGCTGCGTCAACGGATGCCACTGGCAAATCATTTGATATAAACTGTATATGTATGGGAATAAGATTGAAAATATATTCCTAAAATAATCATTTCTCAGCGTAAAAATAAGGGACTTTACGTGGATTTCTCGTCTAAAATGAATTGCTGAAAAGCTGTTAGTTACCCCGGGAATCGAATCCCATTTGTAGTAAGTTGTGTTAGGTTCGCGTGGTCCGGATTAAGCGCGGCCGGGCCACGGAGATAGGGGCCCCCGGGGAACGCCTGGTCGCTTCCCATTTAGAACGAGAAGAGAACCAAGCTTTAGAAGAGAAACACGTCCGTTTAAGCGCGTTTTTGCCTAGCGCTATCGTATGATAGGAAAATGCGATTATCCACATTATTTTCAAACAATTTGGTTTATGAAAAACGGTTCGTCAGATGCATCCTATAGCGCTGCACATCGCACAACGCTACGTCATTATCAAACCTTTTGATACAAACCGTATTTGTATGGGGATAAAGTCGAAATCTGTATCCGTAAGGTAAGCGCAGAAAATAACGTACAAACGGACTTTATGTGTAAATAAAATGCTTTGATGAAAAGCCGCTAGTTAAACCGGGAATCGAATCCCATTTGTAGTAAGTTGTGTTAGGTTCGCGTGGTCCGGATTAAGTGCGGCCGGGCCACGGAGATAGGGGCCCCCAGGGGCGGCTAGTCGCTTCCCATTTAGAACGAGAAGAGAAGCAAGACTTAGACGAGATGAACAATTGACGACCGTTTGTGCTTTAAAAAAAACGTTCGGAGAATGCGGTGTTCCACCTTATTTTAAACAATTCGCTTTACGACAAACGGTTCCCCTTTAGCGCTGCATTTATCCCACAAAGCTGCGTCGACCGATGCCACTGACAAAACGTTTGGGATGTACGGTATTCGTACGGGAATAAAGTCGAAATTAGTATTTTCCTATCAAATTCGTTACGTAGCGTAAAAATGACTTTACGTGTTTTTCTCGCCTAAAATGATTCAGTGAAAAGCCGTAAGTAAACCGGGAATCGAATCCCATTTGTAGTAAGTTGTGTTAGGTTCGCGTGGTCCGGATTAAGCGCGGCCGGGCCACGGAGATAGGGGCCCCCGGGGGGCGCTTGGTCGCTTCCCATTTAGAACGAAGCCAAGCTTTACGACAGTTCAGCAACATACATACTTACATATATCATGCCTATATCATTTGCGGGGAAGGCAGAGCGTAAACAGCCGTAAAACAGCGCTTTGCCTCATGTCTGATAAAACTTTGAGACATTCAGAAGACTGTGTAAGTGCGTATGACTGTGTAGTGACAGGTTGTCAGCCTAAAAACCTCATCATCTGCCTACCCTTATCCCTATTTATTTGGGGTTATCATGGGGTTATTATTTTGTCAGCCTAAAAACCTATCGCATAAAATTGCAATACACATCAACTCTCACATCACTTACGACACCCACGGGAAAGATATGGGGTGTTGTTATTCTAAGCATGTCTATTGCAATTTTAGGCCACAGGCTAATAAACTGTTACTATGGCGATACGCAATCTTCTGAATGACTCTCTAAATTCTGACAGACGCGTTTATTACTGCCGTTTACGCTCTGCCTACCCCGCAAGGGATAAAAGCGTGATATAATATATGTTGTATGTAGAACAGTTATTTCTTCATCAGTTGAGTCCTAGTGCCTGGTTACAAAGATAGGGGTCCCCGGGGATCGCCTGGTCGCGTCCCATTTAGAGAACGAGAACCAAGCTCTACGTCCGTTTAGACATAGGGGCTATATTTAGGTAACAGCAAATTGTTATCAATGAAAATAAGAAATTGAAAAAATTACGCATCGACCGGGACTCAAACCCAGGCTGCATAGGTCAACGCCCCACTGCTCTACCACTGAGCTACCGATGCACAGATCGATGCCTGTCAAAATATCAATCGTTTGATGCTCGTCTCCAAGCAATATTATTATAGCACTGTGAGTGCTGACCCCACAATTGATATTCTCGGCCGAAATAATACAGCATAGTGAGGCTTCTCAGACATGCAACATCTGCCTTGACGGGTGGTTTATATTGCAAATTCATTCCGAATTATCAAAAAATATGATTACAGTGTCTCTCTAGCGCTCAAATGTACGTCAACACGATTATTCCGAGCCAAAGGGAACAACTGACCCCACAATTGTAATTCTCGGCCGAAATAATCCACCATTGTGAGGCTCCTCAGACATGTAACATCTGCCTTGACGGGTGGTTTATATTATAAATTCATTATAGATTAGAAAAAACTATCATTAATTATAGTGTAATTATTATTCTAGCGCTCAAATGTACGTCAACACGATAATTCCGAGCCAAAGGGAACAACTGACCCCACAATTGTAATTCTCGGTCGAGTACCGGCATTTTGAGGCTCCTCAGACATGTACCGTTTGCCTTGATGGGTGGTTTATATTGCAAATTTATTCCAGATTAGAAAAAAAAACAGCTTTACAGTATAATTTATCATCACAGTGTCATTCTAGCGCTTAAATGTACGTCAACACGATTATTCCGAGCCAAAGGGAACAACTGACTCCATAATTGTAATTCTCGGCAAAAATAATCAAACATTGTGAGGCTCCTCAGAGTTGACGGGTGGTTTATATATTGCGAATATTCATTCCGGATCCGGATTATAAAAAAAATCATAAGTAATAATAACAGTGCCATTCTAGCGGCGCTCAAATGTACGTCAACACAATTATTCCGAGCCAAAGGGAACAACTGACCCCACAATTGTAATTCTCGGCCGAAATAATCCACCATTGTGATTGTGAGGCTCCTCAGACATGTAACATCTGCCTTGACGGGTGGTTTATATTGAAAATTCATTCCAGATTATCAAAAAATATAATTACAATGTCATTTTAGTGCTCAAATGTACGTTACCACGATTATTTCGAGCCAAAGGGAACAACTGACCCCACAATTGTAATTCTCGGCCGAAATAATCCGGCATTGTGAGGCTCCTCAGACATGTAACATCTGCCTTGACGGGTGGTTTATATTGCAAATTCATTCCAGATTAGAAAAAAACAGCTTTACAGTGTAATTTATCATTACAGTGTCTCTCTAGCGCTCAAATGTACGTCAACACATTTATTCCAGCCAAAGGGAACAACTGACCCCACAATTGTAATTCTCGGCCGAAATAATCCGGCATTGTGAGGCTCCTCAGACATGTAACATCTGCCTTGACGGGTGGTTTATATTGCGAATTAATTCCGGTTCGGGAGACGCATACAGAATGGACTCCGAATGCGAAATTCGGACGGACATCTTCATGGCTACTTATTTAGATGTTTAGAAATACACGAAGTTGAGATTTTAGTGTTGCAAAATGTTTTCATGGAAAAGCTCAGTATATTTTTTTAACCCTTATTAGAATACGACAAATTTTTGTTTGTTTTTTGGAAATATGGCTTGGTTTCGATTACTAAAAGTTATGGCACTTCATAAAAATAATAAACAACTTCTCAAAGTATGTTTTTTTGAGGTGGGAAATTATTTCCCTATGTTCGTTTAGAACAAAAAAGAAGTGGGAAATTATTTCCCTATGTCCACACGAGTTCAATTCGCTGCAAGACTAGTTGTGTTTTACGGGTTTACCTCTCGAATTATTTTCATTTTATTAATTATTTTATATAAAGGTAAAGGTAAATGTTGTAATTTAGGAACCTGCTTAGTAATGCCGCGTGATGCCGGCTTAGAATGTTATCACCCCATATATTTCCGGTGCTTTTATTTTATATTAGATATTAAATAAATTCCTCGGAATGGACAGAGGGAAATAATTTCCCACTTAGTCAGTTCCTAAACGAACATAGGAAAACTATTTCCCACTTTGTTTCAAACGTAAAATTTTGCCGAAAATACCAACTTAAGCACGATTTTTTCACATAAACGTAACGATAGATTGTTTTATTAGTGAAAATTACCATAAGATGTACTTACAAAGAATTTTCTTCTGAGTTACAGAATAAAATACACCACAAAACTGCCAATTTTGGCCATTTTCGGCATTCCAACAACTTGAAGTTCGTTTGACATTGACAGGTTACATCTTTACCAAAGGTGTTGCCATATATAAATGTGAAAAATAATAGGCTATAGTTGCATTCAGACTTTTCAAATAAAAACCATAGACAAAAATAAATAAACGTGTGTTTTTGAGTTATGGTATGGTGGGAAATATTCTCCCTATGTTCTAATAAGGGTTAAGGTACTTAGACTAACAGATCGCCAAGCGGTTGCACCCGCTACATGCCCGTTTGTTATCGGGTTCCCGTGACAATAAGACGATTTCCCGTCATGTATGTTAATTCTTCTTGAATCATTCTATCTGTCTGCTTCTTATAATGGTAGGCTTATAAACCAAGCGTCGCGACAAAGACGCGCGTCAAAGACGTTGTCGCTGCGGTCTTGTAGAAAAACCCGACCGCATCCCATACAAACCCTGAGCTTCTCAGCGCGCTGTCAACGTGACGGCGACGCGGCGGCGTCGTTGACGCTGACGCCCGGTCTTTCTGGTATCCCCATACAAACGCTGCGACGCCGCGACGCTTGGAAAATAAGGGTACCATAAAACCGCATAAAAATCCGTTGTATCGTTAAGAAGTAAGGTGGTCCATGACTCGGTGACAGACAGACAGGGAAACGTAGATAGCGACTACATTTTACACTATGTTCATATTGTTCATTACATATTGATAACCAATATCGGGTCGCCATCTACTAATTTGCGTCCTAGATAACAAAGTGATAGATATTTCTGTATTTTAATTAGCAATTTCGTAATCTACAAGGTGATGTAATATTTCTGTTGTTTTCTATATGAAAATGAATATAGGTATGATTAGATATACATGTGATAGATATTTTGATAAGAAACATTAGGTTAGGGTAGTAATTAAGTTACGTCATGATATGCAAAATGATGATATATTCCTGTGATTTACATAAAAAGCGGCCAAGAGCGTGTCAGACACGCCCACAAATAGGGTTTCGTAGTCAACGTTCAAATATCAGGTTATCAGTATTACAAAGTTAATTTTGTTGCTGGTTTGTTTGCAGCTGTATGATTACCAACCGCAAATAGAAAAACTTTTTTTATTCTAAAATCTTTAGTGGTACAGTATCCGTTATAGTTTTCATGGTAACTTCAGATTGAGAAGTACATTCCATATATTTTTCAAATTTTTAGCGTTTATACTTTAGGAGTTACAGCTGGAACAAATTATGGCTCAAAAACGCCCCTTTTAAAAGCAAATATCTCGAGATAGAAACATGTTAGTGACTTTCTTTCAAAGAAACCTCCCCTTAGTTTTAAAAGACCTATTCAACGATACCGTACTCAATATTACAGGAGAAAAAATTATTTTTTGCCCCCCTTTCACTTGTATGGGAGTCCAATAAATAATCAAAATATTTTTTTCTCATCAATTCTAAATTTGGGTTAAGACGATCTATATTCGCACCAAATTTGATGTCGATAGCTCTAAAACTGACGGAGTTATGAGGGCGCGGCATACAGACAGACAGACAGACAGACAGACAGACAGACAGACAGACAGACAGACTTGACGAAACTATAAGGGTTTCTAGTAGACTACGAAACCCTAAAAACAGTAATAAAAATAAACGTAGATATGATTAGATATCATTTTAATCAGAAATACCAACATGATTTAATGAATGACAAAGCAAATTTACATACATTCCTACATAAAACACGCCTATATCCCTTGCGGGGTAGGCAGAGCGTAAATGGCTATAAAAAACGACTAATAAATAACACCACGTCTGACAAAAATTGGAAAGTCACTCAGAAGATTGTGTAATTACCATAGCGACAGGTTGTCAGCCTGTCGCCTAAAATAGCAATACACATAAACTCTCAAATCCCGTGGTAGCTTCTTACGACATCCATGAGAAAAATATGGGGTGATGCTATTCTAAGCCGGCACCACACAGCAATGATAAAGCAAAACTTCACTTAAATCGAAATTAATCTTCATTGTTAGTACCCATCGTGCCTCATCACTTCTAACTAACTAATCTCTTGGGAGTGTAATTAATTAATAATAAGGTTAATTACACATGTCATTAGGTATAATGTATGTACAATCAGAGTACTGAATATGTTAGGCGATCAAGATGACGAGATAGCATGTTTATAAATTAAGTTCATCAAATGTATGCCGCCTAGAATAGAATAGCATCACCTAAATTCTACTAGTGTTGGGTGTCATAAAAAGCGACTAAAGCATAATCATCGACATAATGCGCAGCAGCGTTCTCTGTAAATGTAAAATCTTGTGCCGCGCTCGATAATCCGCCTGCCAAGCGCGTAGGGACTATGATAAAACCCCCGATAGACCAGCAGTGGACTGTGGTGACTTTACTTATGGAACATTTCAGTAAGTTTTTGAAGTCGTAACTGAAAATTGAAATGTTATGTACCTTTTAATTCAGCCACGTTGGAGTTAGTTAGTAAAGTAAAGAAAAATTTCAGCTGCAATTGGTAAGTGATCAAAGATACATTTTTAACGAGGGAGGACACCAGATGCAAAGCAAGTCACAAATCATAAAAACAAAATTAAAAATTTTGAAAGTACCCACGACAGTATAATGATGTTGAAAAAGGATAAAATAATTTTGAAACCCCCGACCTTAATAATCTATGTGATAAATAAGAGACAATTCACATTATGTAAAAGCTTTTATACAAGTGAGTTGATTTAATTGCTCACTGAGTCAGACATAATATGAACAACATAGTATTCGCTTTTTTAGCACTTCCTTACGTATGTATTTGGTTCTTAAAGATGTAGGTGTAGCAATCGCATAGGTAATTAACTCCTTAAA